ATATATATATATATATATATATATATATATATATATATATATATATATATATACACACACACACACAAAGTGTTTTTGTCTTTTTCCTGTCACTTAATGACGTCACCACATCTCATTTGCATACTTTTTGTCCATTGGCTGATTTTGTACAACCAGCTCATCATGAGTGGAACCTTAAACTTTAAAGAACCTTAAACTGGAAGTTTTTGACAGAGATTCTGCAAAAAAATTAAATTGTACAAAAAAAAAAAAAAAACGTCTCGAGTCTACCAGCCAGGGTTCTACGATCCAGGACGGAGATGAGAAGATTGAGTCCAATTTGTGTCCAGATGAGGAAATGTTGGGCAAATATAACCACAAAGGGTTATATTCCTGGCCAGCAGGGCAGAAGGCTGATCCAAACTCCCAGAGCCTCAACTCCAGAGTCCTGGGGTCCAACAACAGACTGAAGCCAAAGTCCACAATCCACAGTCACTAGTTTTATTAGCAGTGGAGTCAGTCAGCCAATCAGGGAGAGAGTAGGTGACGTGTTCGGGGCTGGCTGGGAAAACAGAGATGTGAGTTGGATAACAAACTGAACAAAACATCAGTTTATAATTAGAGCTGCAGCCTATAACTTCCATAAAGAAGTTTTTACATATTTAACATTATGTTGTTACAGTTTAATATTATGCAGATGAACTGCTGTAGGTTTCTAAAGAGATGCACTAAGTACAACCAGAGCCAGGAGGAGGGGCTTAACGCTGTTGATCATCTCATGTACTCGCTGCTAAATGTACTAATGACAGAGAAATAGATTAGCATTACAGGAAAATTGTTTATCCACAGTCATCAGCGGCTATGCTAACTAGCCTTACCATTGATAACAGGCTATGCTAGCTGCAATGTAACAGAGCCCAAGGGTGATTGACAGCGCTAAGACCCGCCTCCTGGCTCTGATTGGTTGGGGCAGATCATCCTGCATCAGTTTAAACTAATATGTAAAAATTGTTTTTTATTAAAGTGACATACTGCAGCTTTAAATCTCTGGATCTGTCTCAGGTCCATTCCGGCCGTGTCTCCGCCTTCTCGGCAGCTGGATGATTCGAGGCGGCGTCTGGCTCATTGCTGCAACCTCATTGGTCAGCAACGGTCTCGTCGTCCTGTCGGTCTTCTTCTCTCCAGCCAGCATCGTCACGACCCCCAAGCTCCTGATTGGCCTGCTGGCTCTGGTGAACGGCCTGATGGGAGTGTGGAGCAGCTGGCTGGCGGCGGTGGATGCCTGGACGTTTGGCAGCTTCTGGAGGTTTGAATACAGTTATTATCTGACTGACTTCCTCCTCCTTGGTTTTAATGTCTGTCCTGTTGCAGGTACGGGGTGAAGTGGGAGAGCAGCTTCCTGTGTCGCCTCAGTGGCTTCCTGTGCGTGTTTGCGTCTCAGACCGGACTCTTCCTGCTGACCGTCGCGGCTCTGGAGCGATGTCTGTCTGCTGCAGGTGCAACACAGAGCAGCAAAGCTGGCAGGAGCAGCGGTGAGGAAACGTCAACAAACATTTTGTCACCATGTAACTTAGAACCCATATTGTGTCATCAATCCTAATTCATGTAGCGGTTTGATAAACTCACATTTGAATAAGGTTTGACGTTTTCATTATTCATTGTTTATTCTGCACCCAGAATGTGGAACAGGAAACATTTTAAAAATATATTGACGTCCTCCATGTTTTCTTACCAATGGTAGAAGTGGTCAATTAGGCAAAATCAGAATAAAGTTAACAAAACCCAACAACTTCAAATCTGACACCATGAGTGAAAAATCTGCAGGTATTCATGAAATAAGACATTTTAATATAAGAGCCATTGTCGATAATAAAAATACATGGCATAAAAACATATGTAGCATCATGTTTCAAATCCATTGAATCATGAAGATTGAATTATTTGATATCTTATTTGTAAAAATGCAGCAGCATGTTTTAACTCCTGTTCCCGCAGGTGGTTCTTCGTCGCCGCTCTTCATCCGTTTGTCGATCTTCCTCTGCTTCCTGCTCGGCTTTGTCATCACTCTGCCTCCACTGATGGCCGGGCACAGCAGCTCCTCCTTCTGTTTGCCGCTGCCTTCGTCGTCCTCCTCTTCCTCCTCCCTGGCCTTCGCGGTCTCCTTGGTTCTCTTCGACTCGCTCTGCTTCCTCGTCATGACGCTCGCCTACACTCGCCTCTACTGCCGCGCCAGCAAAGCTCCGCCAAACTCCGACGACGACGTGGCGTTGACTCGTCACGTCGCCTGGCTGCTCTTCTCCGACTGCCTGCTCTACCTCCCCGTCGCCTTCCTCTCCTTCTCCTCCCTCCTGCGACTCCCTGCCGCCGGGCCGGAGGCGGCGAAGGGAGTCCTGCTGCTCGTGACGCCACTTCCGGCTTGCGTAAACCCGCTTCTCTATCTCCTCTTCAACCCGCTCGCCAGGGGAGAGCTGGCGGCGCTGGCGGCTCGCGCCTGCAGGGGTGCAGCGGCGTCGAAGTTACAGAGAAGGGGCGTGACCGGAGGACGGCCGCTGGATTCAACGTACGACGAAGACGCGGAGAAGCAGTCGTGTGACTCGACTCAAGCGTTGGTGGTTGTGGAAGGTGTGAAGGAAGAGGAGGAGCAGAGGAGCAAGACGCAACAGTCGCTGTCGGCCGCCCAACGTCGCTAAACGGACATAAAACTCACACGTTGTAGTGTTTGTGTCTCACCTGACAAAAGCTTGAATATCGATCCCAAAGGTTCTGCTTCATTCTAACAGAACCCTCAAAATCTGCCTCATTTTAACAGGGAGCTGTTGTTCAAAATTCACATTTACACTTCAATTTGGGTTTGAACTGCTTCTAAAAGCAGGTAAAGCACTTAAAAAACAATAAGTTAATGTTTTTGGTGTATGGAAAATGAGTCATTTCTAAAACCTCCCAAATATTAACTTACATTCTACGAGCACTATGCTGTCACCTAGCAACAAGTGGAATTCTGCCTGTTACCTAGCAACCCAGGTGGAGCTCCAGCCTGGTCTGCTGGTTTTCCACTGTATGTGCTGTACAATGGCTGATGGAAAAGCCGAGACTTTTGTTGTTGACTTACCATCCGGAAACTATTTGCTGCATTTCTGTTAGTTGTGCAGGAGGCTCCACTTCTGCTTTTTAAAGATGTACGGTTTTATAGTCGTGCATCTGTTTGCAGCTATTTTCATGTGTGAGTGTAAACAGTGAGTTGGGGGCGTGACCAGCAGTAGCTTGTTTGGATTTAAAGTGACAAGACCTAAAACGGCTAAAATCTGATTATCTAAGAATGATTTTGTGCAAAAAATATAATGAACATGATTTGTATAGGCCATAGAAAGAACCTGTTCAAGGAAGCAGAACAGATCATCCTTTAGGTTTTGGTGGACAATCCTGCATGTTTTGGTGATACAGATTGCTATGACGATGATAGAAAAAAGGAGTAAATTTCCACAAAGAAATTTAGAAATTTTCAGTTTAATCTCAGTTTTGTGACTCTTCTCCTGATAAATGAAATCCTGATAATCTTAAGCATTCAAATGTGAGAAAAATATGTGAAAGTGAGTCTCAGTAGCTGATTGATGTGATTTCTGAGGATATAAATACATTTTTTAGGTTTTATTGTTGATTTTTTTTGGTGTTTTTTAATCCCATCTAAATGAGGCGAAAACACGTCCAGAAATGACTTAAGGCACAATTTCATGAATTTTTGCTCTGCTTTTCCAGCTGTTGTCAGGTGAGATCAAACCTACAGGTCCAGCAAATGTAGCAGCAGCTGAAGAAGAGAAGCCTGAACTCATTTTTTCTATTTTGTTCCTGTTTTGACCAGACAGTTTGTTTCAAAGGGTCGCAGACATCATGAAGGGTTTCATTTTAAAACATGGTTTTGCAGCAACGCGCCACCAAATGTTCGCTAATGTCTCGTGTTTCTGCGAGCGAGTGTGAAAACTGCAGCGTGCGTGAGAGTTTCATCAACCTGGAGGAGAAAACCAGCTGCAGAATCATCCGTCCATTCAGTCTGCAATGTTTATATCTTTAAGCTCATTCTGGCCTCATTTTCAGGTCACGAGTATAAAAATAATCTGTTTTTGTGTTGTAAATAGGCGCTACTGTGACAATCTTCATTTATGTAGACTGTGAGAAATCTGTTTTTTAAAGGTTTTTATTGTATGTATATTACAGTTGTTTTTTAACGCTTGTCTTTTTCATGTTTGTCGTGTGAAGTGGTGATTGTGAACACTGTTTTACATAAATGTGACCTAAAATACCTGCAGATTTTCTCACCTCTCCTGCTAAACTTTTGGGCAGGAGAAACATTTTGTACTTCATTTATTTATTTTTTTTTTTAAATTGTCCAATGTTATATATTTTTTAGAGGAAAATTTTTAATCTTTGCTTCTTGTGGTGATTTAATTGATATTTTAGAGTCATCTGCTTTTGAATAAATCAACTCTGTTGGCTTTTAAATCAAAGCTACTTTATATATTTCAATATATTTTTAATCTAAAATCAAAAAACAGCTGTTGAGAAGTTTAAGAAGTGAAACCTGCTTTAGTTAACATAGAAACTTTGATTTAAAACCATAATTTTGCTTTATTTATAATCAAATAAAACATTAAACTTTTACAAAAATAAATAATTTCTTATTTTCAGTAAAGTGCTCCATAGTTGGGGCAATTCAAGGACATAGTCTGAAGACAAATGACAAAAATGGATGGAAAAATTAATTTTTTGCTGTTTGAGTAAATTTAATGCAAATATTTCATGAAAAGTTTAGTTTTTATCTGAAATTCAAACTTATCCACATTTTCATTTAACTGAAGAATAAAATGGTGCAAAACAAGATTTGTTTTAATCTTTTAACTTAATTTAAGTAGTATTGAAATAATCCAGCTGTGGTAATTTTCCACACAATTGGGCATCTAAAAATTAATTTTGACACAGTTTTGATCAATTAAAAGTGGATTTTTAAAAATATATTTCAAACAGTAGAGCTGTTGAAGTATAAAAAAAGGATATATTCAGTATCGGACAGCAGTTTTCCCCAGTATGAACAAATCATTTCCACACTTGCTGGCTTTTATTTTGGAAAGCAAAGTTCTTATTATTTTGGGTGAATCACATTTTTATAACCTTTTTTGCTGTATTTTTCAGGTGGGAAGCAGAAAATACAAACAAGTTATTTAATTTGAAACAAACTTAAGTGGATAAATTGAGCAACATTTAAGATGAGTCTGCTTCAAATATCAGTGGTTATAACAGGAAAAAACACAAAATCTCCATTTATTTATAATCACAACATAACAGTTGAATAACTACAGAAACGTGACCAGAGGGACTGGGAATCGAACCCATGACCTTCCGATTCCAATACGACTGATATGTTATTGATATATTGTTATTGACACATTGCTTAAATTACAGGTTTTGAGCAGGCTACAGTATTCATGTTGGATTTCCTCAGTTTTCCTTCATTATCGTGTTCATTTAGTTTATATCTCAGCTTTTTGTGTGTATTTCACCTTAAGTGTTGTTATATGGGCAGGTTTTTCTTTGATATCATCCCATTTTATTTTGAATTCCACTAATAACCTTAATACACAAGTAGATGGAAATTATTTTAGATCATGGTTTCTGCCTCCCTCAAAAATTACCCCACAGTTGGTCTAATTGTAACAACAAAACCTAATAACTGGTAAAAGAATTTGTCTTGATATGTTTTTCTGTATGTGAAGTGGTGATTCTGGTAAAAACACGTTTTCAGTGTTGTACTTTCAATATCTAACGCTTTCACTTGCAAAAAAATAAAACATAAACCAGACGAAATAAGAGGGCGGGGTTTAAGCCCTTTTTATGTGTCACCACAGCAACAATCAAATGAATATATAAAAAAATGAATAATCACAAAGCATGACTATGAATGTGTGCTGTGTTAAAAGATTGCTGCTGCACTTTTCTGTAATCAGCACTTAAAATGTAAACAAATGTTTCCTGAAAACGTAAAATGGTTCTTCCCTCCAAATGTTCATCTTGTCCCCTTGTAAATCTTTGTAAAGTACCTTGAGTATTTGTTGGAGTCTAGTTTGTAAAGTTTAGCTTGAAGTTACAGTTTGTGACGTAAATAAATCAGCAGTGCTGCAAAATGTATAGTTGAGTCTGTTATTACAAGTTTACATTAATGTAAACCAAGTTGGTTTCTTTACTAACGTCGCCAGATCCTGTTTCACTCTAAATTCGGAGCCTCCCTGAACGCCTCATACGTCCGCAGTGTGACGTATTAACGTCAGAGTTCACTGCTAATGGCAAAAATATGTTGTCCGGGTGCTGCAGACTTCTATGTGAGACAAATTATGAACAAATTGGTATAATGTCCGAAATAAAAAGTCAAAATATCTGTATTGAGGGAAAAAATTACCTCTCCATTATAACTCGGCGCTTATTGTGACGAAGAAAACCGTTACGGTGAGTTAGCATTTTAGCTGGGTTATGCTACAGGGTTTTATTGGCGCATTAATATTATTTTTTAATATGACCAGAAATATGTTCTTTTCATAGAAAATACGTGCTTTGACTAAGTAATTTGGTTAGCTGCTTAGCTATTAGGTTAGCTAAAGTGCTAAGCTAATGAAGCTATGTCTACCATGACTAGATTGGCCAAAAACTGTAATTGAGTAATATCACATTACTTCAGTATATTGTAAAAAGAAGTTATACTGGGTTTTCTAAACTCTCCCCTTTGTTCAGAGATTTTATTGATCGTTTTTAGTGATATTAAACTGAGGTTTTGTGTTAAAACACAAAAATGTATTCGTTTTCCCAGATGTCCGGCTATGTGTGGACAAGGCCTGAAGCAGAGCTGCAATGTCAGCCGTGTGATCATTATTTCATGGTGTTTAAAAGGTAGGAAAATATTTATAAAATTGGTGAATACTGGTTATTAGCCATAACAGCAATATCAATACTAGATATTCCTATCATTGCAAATTTTCATATCGTCTGATCCTTAAAATAAATTCTTAAAATATATAATTCTTTGTACTAAAATGATGTAATTTGAGTTTCACTATTAGAAGAGATAAAATAAATAAATTTTTAATGATGCTCCAATGCTATGCTGTCTAAACCCAACTGGATGCCCCTAATGGCAAACAAAACAGGGAAGCTACAATCACCCATCAGCCCTTTAAACAGATGGTTACCATGGAGACCCAATGCAGGCTGGTGGATGGATGTTACTGCTGACCAAACAGTTACTCTAACATCTCTGCTGACTTGTCTGCATGCCTGGGAGTTGCTGGTTGATGTTCTGCAGTAAATCACTCCTAACACATTGATAATCGCAGTCTTGACGTGTCCTCCTCTTTGAAGGTGCGTCAGAGTTCCCCCCATTTTAGTCATTTCTCCTCATCTGACATTTATAGAACGACTGATGACTAAATCTTTATGATCAGACCTGGTGAAGTATAAAATTGGCTCAGTCATCCTCTACCTTTTTGAGTTTTTAGACACATTTCAGGATGTACTGATGTGGAACAGTGACTCCATGACTGCTGATGAAACAGTAACTGACTTAACATAAACCTTTATCTAGCTAGAATGAGTCTATCAGACTCACTGACTGATGTGGATGAATCACTAAATGAAACCTAAAGGTGGATTTTTTTTAACACTGAGAAGTTTAATGTTTGAAAACTTATCAAATATTAAATGTTCTTTAAGGTTTATGATAAATTTGATCTTGAGGGGTCAATGTGACACCACTGGATTTACTATTTCCAGTTCTGCCAGATGAGTTGAAAGAGAAGCTTCAAGGATTTTTGTCAGCAGAAAGAGAAGGAAGAAGTTCAAACCACCGCTCCTATCAATCATAATGGTCAAGGGTCGTATCCCTGCATTGTATCCTCTACTCCAACATCTTTTTGTCTGACTGACATACAACCAGACAGATTTAAAGAGGAAGCAAATGAGCTGGATTATCAGTGCTCGCCAACAACTGATGGTGAATCCAGGAGATGTTAAATTAAGCTGTTAGCAACAAACAGCAACAGTCTTCAATCAGAGACCGACTGTTATTGGAGAACAACAACATTTGATTAAATAAAGTATGTTTGACTTGAGCTCAATTTCTACGTATTGTTTGTCTTTAATTTCATATTTTATTACTCTTGGATTATTTATGTCTTCTTTGGTTCTCTCTCCACCTGTCCACCATCAGTCTCAGGGTTTTTTTCTTACGTCTGTTTGAAAGTTTGGGTGGATTTTTAGTGTTAAGCTGCTAACTTTATGTTCTAGTCGTTCAAACTCAACTGATGTGAGTCATTCTGGGTTATTTCTAAAACAATCGCACAATTATTCACAACAAATCACAAAGTCTGACTCACGTAGCTGCTGATGAGGTGCACTCATTGCAACACAAATGAACCAAAATGGATCTTAGACTTTGATTTATCTGTGGTATAAACTGTTTTTGGGTTTATTTCACACCCATAATTATTTATGTAATTGTTCTAATTGGTATTATTTAATTTAATTGTTATTTTATATTTTAACTCGTTTTGTCCAGATGGGTCTCCTGTTTTGGGTTAAAAGATCCAAAAATTAAAGATGATGCTACATCGCCATCTACTGGGCAAATATGGAATTACAGTAGAACTCAATTTAAATGACACCCAAACGTTTTTTTTTTCATTAAGCCAAATAAACGATTGTTTTTTTCTCCTTTCACTGAAACCCATTAAATCAGTCCATCTATAGTTATAAAACACCATATTTAAATTCATGTAAACATTTTTCCTTTCCATTCTGTTGATTTATTTGAACTTCAGGAGGTCATCTCTTCATCACGTGTAGATGAGTGAATGCATTGATTTGATGTGTAATTTTTACCTGCTACCTGTATTTTTATTTTTTTTTTACACTGAAACCTGTGTTTCTGTGAGTCATGCGGCACAATTTGGAGGTGTGTGTTCCATCGACCCCAACGCCATTGACTTCATGGTCCGACATTTTATGATTTCCTGAATTGATTGGACTTTAGGACTTTTCTGTAGGAATAAAATTAATTCAGTTAAGTAAATTTGACTAACATTTTTGAAAAAATATACTTTTAGACATATTTTTAGTATCCCATACTTTTTACTTTTGCTTGACGTATCACTACTCTTACTTGAGTAAAATTTCTGGGGGGGTTTCTCACAGAATAAAAAACAAACATGTTTTAATTATACATTCTGCAGACACAGACACACAGTTTTCACTAAAGTTTCATTAGTTTTGAGAGAAAATTTATTTTGAAAGACCTTTCTTTTGTCTGATTTTGTTATATTTTTTGTTACATACATGAGTTATTGTCATTTTGGTAAGATGACAATAACTCATGTATGGTAAAATATTTATATTTTGGTAAAATCTGAATATGTAATTTTGATTATTTGATCGGTTATTGAATATTTTTTACCAAATACTTTTTTGTCTTTTTTGTCTCAACTCACCTTTAACGAATGTGGAATTAAGTTTTGCTAAATACTTTGTTACATAATTCTCCCACTTTAAAAATGTCAATTATTAATTTGAGAAAATGTTTTTTGCAGGTTTTGCATGTTTCTTTTCAGCTAAAAAAGCACAATAAGTGATGCACTTGCACTGAAGTACAGCATAATGGCGGTGAATTAGTGTTACAGGAAGGTGACTGGCTGTTTTATGACTGTCAGATGAGTGAACACCTTTTATCTTTTCTTGTTTAAAGCTCAAAGTCCACCTGACAGACACAGGCGATCCACAGACAGTCACCACAAACCGATTTTTTAAAAGTAGCTAAAAGAAGTGATTCTACCGGCTGGAACCTCACAAGAAGAGGTTTGACTTTGGATATATTGGTAGAAACTTTGATTCTGGAGCTGAATTCGCCGTCACACATGGATGGTACCTGAAGACGAGCGGGTCGAATAAATTTCGCCGCTGTCCGACTGGCTGGCAGCCATTTTGGAGACAAACCAGGTGTGTTTGAGCAAACATGTTGAGATGGTTTCTGTTTAGACAAGATGGTTTTATCTGCCTTATGGTGAACCATTACCGCTGAAACAAAGATCACAGTGATTCTTTTAGTTTTAACAAATAATTATGTCATTAACTGTCCAAATCTGCTATTGATTATGAAGTTTGAGGACAATGCAAGGAAAATTAAATAGTTACATTAAAAATAAGATTTTAGCAGTTGGTCAATGGTCTTTGAACTCCGTCTGTACTTTAAGCAACATCTAATTTTGATCTACTGTGACTTTCATGAACCACATTAATGTTTTCCATGGTCCGATCAAGCGGTTTGCTGCCAGTAGGAAAGTTTTAACAAACTGTTGATCCAAAAGTTGAAAATATATTAAAAGTCGTGATACTCAGGTTGATGAACTGGCAGTTTGAACTCTGCACTGGAAGTTTACAGAGGGGTGTGTTCAGTTGGTTATGAGGTTACGTTTAATTTTCTGTGGAATTGAACAGAAAAATGTGATGTCCAGAGCTGAAAATAAAAACATGCCAATAAAATATGTAATTTTTAGAGCTTAGTTAAAGGTTATGACACTAAGATGCAACCAAAACATTTAGAAGCTTGAGTCCAAGTCAAAACGAGAACTGGTGTATGCTTAGAGACTTAAATGTTACGACCAATTTATTAAAATAGCTTTATTAAGGAAACAAAGGTACTTATGAAATCAATCTTAAAGACAATAATCTGGGTATATTTTACCCTTGACAATATTGTAGTAAAAAAGTCTTTATAGTTTTAAAGTATTTTTAAATTAATTTAAAAAGTACTTGAAGTTATGATTACTGTGACCTACAGTAAGAACTAACAGGATTCAGCAATGCAAATTTGATGCTAATGATTGCTAGCGTTGATATTTACCGATAAGCTAGCCTGTTTTTTATTTGTCTTTATGGGAAACAATCTGCTCTCTGTTTAAAACTGAGAAAAATAATCTAGAGACCTGAGGAATACAACAGATATCTAACAAACGACAACAATCTCATGTTAAATGGGAACTGCTAACAAACAAGCTAACTTTGCTAGCATCACAACCATTTAGCATGTCTGCATCATTTAGCATTTTTCTAGACATTTTTATTTCATGGAGACTTGATTTGTTAAACTGCTTCTTATCCATTGTGTCATAAAAAGTGTAAAATTTAAGCACTTAAAGACTATTCATTTTAATTGATTTTAATAATGTCTATTCAGCAACCACAGCTCTACACCTTCCATCACTTGTTTTGGGTTTATTTTCAAGAGTTGGTGCTTCGAGTCCATTAATTCGCTCTTGGTATAGTACCGTTTCTTTGCCAGCTTTCTTAGGACGATTAAGGACAAAACTAGACACACATAAACATTCTTGCTCCTCTACAGCATCTCTGGAGTTCAGTACAGTTTGCTTCGCCTAATACCTTTGGCTAACGCTTTTACACTTTGGCCCATATTCTTACGGTCCACAGCAACAGAGGTTGCAGACCCTAAACTAAACAAGTCATTATTCATCTACAACATAGATGGACAATCTATGTTATAGGAAGTATATCAGTGAAATGGTTGTCATTGGGTGATTGTTATAAACCAAGATAAGGATGGAACGTATATCATTTATGAGCTAAACTCTCTTTACATTTAACAAAAGCCTTTAGCCTTGAACTTTGGATCATTACCTAATGGTGATGGATCATCACAGCACAGAGTGTGGGACTCCTAATGGAAAAAGCAAATCATCTAGCCCCAATATTTACCTGCTTAATGCATTGTAATATTCTCAGTCTCGTGGTCAGCAGCAGCTGCAGGTGGAGATCCTCCTGACTCCTCCACGTTCGAGCACAGCAACGCCCCATGCATGGTAGCATGGAGCCTGGAGCCAGTGGGCCACCACTCCAGGTTCTTGGAGAGAACGAAGCACTGCAACAATTCTTCAGCGGTGAGACGTTCTACAAATCTTCACAGCAAACCTGGAAATATCAGTCAACTGAAAAACAAGATTTTAAAGAACTTAAAGGATGTCCCAGTTATCTCTAAACATGAGAATCCAAGATTGGTTCAAGAGACTTTCCATAGTTTCAAGCATTCTCCAGACAGATGTGGTTTTGTTTTTCTTGGACCTTTGAGGTACCCAGAACTATCTTTGGAGAACTCCAGTCTATCGTGATTTAGTTGCTCTTGTGAAGTTTTTGAGGCTTTTGAGGTGTAACTAAACAAACTGCACTGAATATGGTTCATATTGCAAGCAGAACTTAGTCTGAAAATGACCTTTCAATTTAATCTCAAAGATGCAACACACCATTCAGTACCAAAGAGAGAGGTGGTTTATTAGAGGTTTGAGAGATAAGCAGGTGACTCTTAATGCTTGGTTGGTGATCTTATAGGAAGATCAGGTCTTCCTACTCTTTACAGTCTTAAAATTATGCTAACAAGGTTCATGAAGTCTTAGTCATTAGGGTTAGGGTTAGGTAAAGGCGATGTGATCTCAAAGGGTGTGTGGGACTGGTTTTAAGGTTTTACATTAGTTTGGAGAGACTTTGATTCAAACAGGTTTCCTGCATGTTAAGAATACTCTTGTTTTTTGAAGAAGTTCACTTGTTTCTTAAGAATTTTCCAAAGACATTCCAGGGTCTGCCTAATAGGGTAGCGATAAACAGTCTTGGTTCTTTATGGAAATTAACCAAAATTGTAATTGAGGTATTTTATACCAGGAGTTTCCAAGTCTACTCCTTGAGAGATACTATCCTGCATCCCTCCTCATAAGTTGACCTAATAACAAGACATTCATTTGACTCAGGTGTGTTGGAGAAGGGATTCCTCTGAACATTGCAGGATAGTACTGGTGTTTGTTTCCACCGTTCAGCTGTTTGTGTTTCTGGTCTTTGGGCTTTTTTGACAAAAGTTCGAAGTGAACTTTTGTAATGTTGCAAAAGAGAAAATGTGTGTTTCTATCCACTGATCTGGAGCGAATAAACCATGATTGGTATTTTAAAAAATTTTCAGAGTTTCGTGCCTCTGGTACGGCACAGATCCTCCAGTGGAAAGACAGTTCGCTACTTAGTGTTTCCACCTTTTTGGGATCAAAAAATTGTAAAGTTTTTCCAAATTTTACCATTTCTATCAGTCTTTTTTAATGCAATAAAACATTGATGAACCATGGGTGGTGATAGTGATCCAGTAAAGGATTGTCAGAATGTCAGTGGTGTTGAAGGAGTATGGAAATATATGTAATATCATTTATTATTACTGGCCCAAATGTTCATATCGGTGAATCTCTAATTGATTTTATTGAGAAGAATGAGGAAAAAATCTAATTATATGACTGTAGTTACCAACTGTGATCATAGAGTTTTGTATATTAGTTTCCTTTTACTCTGTGTGAGTCCTGATCCATCATATTGCTCACCTTTTCAGGTCAGGATGTCAGTAGTGTGTTGGACAGCTCCGTTGCTGTCGACACCAGCATCCTGGAGCAATACCTCAGCAACGACATGGACCCCAGCAACTTGTAAGTCTCAGAGGAAGATCATTTAATCATTTGAAGAAAGGCTCAATGCTCATTCAGGCACCAATAAAACACTTAAAGGATTAACTGTAAATAAGACTAGAGATTGGATAGATTAGAAAGTAGTTTAATTATTGTGTTCATTGAGTTATTCGTTGACCAAGAATACCCAGAAATCCTTGCAGCCATGTTCTTGGTTAGTTTCTACTTGGTGAGAGTCAGCCTGTTGTAGCTACAGTACAATGATAATCAGTTTTATGTGGGAAACTTTCTACTCCAGTGTCATGTCTGAGCACATACTCTGTTATGTAACATCCATAATTTAACACTGACCCAGTTGGTTGTCAGATAAGTGAAGATTGCTGATGGAGACGGCTCCGTGTAGGACGGCACGGCGATCACTGATACCCGGCTGTTTCTGTTTTCTTTTCCAGCATGCTTCCTGACTCTCCTCCTGACTCAAGTTCGGAGGCCTGTTCTCCTCCACAGATACCAGGTAGTTTTCAACACACTGCAAAAACGCAACAAGCTATTTTTGGTCTAATTTCTAGTGCAGATGTCTTAGTATGCTTGAAATAAAGCAAAACTAACTTAAAAGTCACTTTTCTGCAAGATATAAAAGGTTGTTCTAAGAAAATAATTTCCTAATATTGAAAAAAACAAATCTCTTTTTTAATATCAATATTAAGGATTATTTACTTAGAACAAGCTCTTATATCTTGCAGAAAAGTGACTTTTAAGTTAGTTTTGTCTTATTTCAAATGTACTAAGATATTTGTTCAAGAAGTTAGACCAAAAATACTTGTGTTTTTGCACTGATCCAGTTCGCCTTTTGTATTATAAAAGCTAAATGTCCTTCTCTTGTTTTTACCCATGTAACTAAAACCTATTTCCACATGTAATGCGGTAAGTTTAACATTACGCTAGTTTTTGTTTTAATAATAACACATTTCTATTTCACAGAAATTAATGCAATTAATTGGTTCAGTCAGTTTGAAACAATTAATTGGATTAATTGTGATTAATTGAAATAATCATCAACTAATTTAGTAATCAAATAATTAATTGCAGTATAAAAACTGAAACTTTGCTGAAAGAAAAACATATTCAGAGCAGAAATTAGGCCAAAAATGTACAAAAAAATATACATTTTGCATTTGAAATAAAAAGTCTTTGTAAGTCTGTTCTACCCAGAACTGAAATAAAAAAGGTCTCCCATTAAGCACCTTTTTCTGTCCAATTATTAATCACTGAATGGAAACAATAATCAACACATTAATACTGCAATGACCTTAAAGTTTATTAAATAAATTAGAGTGGTTTGTAATGAAGGTCTTCATTATTTGGCTGGAAACACTTAAAAGGGCCATCCTAACATGGTTAAATGAAAAACATACAGAATGTGCCAAGTTTTTATCTGATTAATTGATTAATCATCAGAATAATTGTTAGAATAGTATAAAAATACACAGATATACATTAATCTACATGTTATAAAGGCTTCTGTTGTTTTTATATTTTTAAAGCATGTTGTGTTTTCTCCTGTTGGCAGATCTCGGATATGAACGGTCCTGTTGGCCCATCTGTCCAGAGGGGTTTCAACCAGCAACGTACTGTCACTTTAAGAATCGAGGACCCATTCCCCTCGACTCTGACCGACTCACTCGACCCACTTCCTGTCGGTTAAAAGATGGCGGCAGCAGCGGCGGCGGCACGTCCCACTCTGACTTTCTGACCCACAACCAGCTCTGTGGTTTGGGCCTCACAGACTCTTCTGTAAAGTCTAGGACTCCACCTGATCCGCATATTCTACCCGTTCATCAGGACACCAACCACCCACCTGAACACAACTTGAATTCAGGAAGCATTTTGCAAGGTTACACTCCACCCTCTCCTCCTTCCCCACCCTTACCTCCAACCAGTACCTGCATGTCTGCCATGACTGACCCAGGTCTGGTCCAAAACCTCCCTGTGTCATCTTCGCACTGTGTGCTGGGTTCAGTCTCCACATCGCATCCCTGGTAAGCAAACTTTTGGTTTTTGGAAATGACTGTGTGTGGATTTGTGGGGGAATACCCGAGATCCCCTTTAAAACCGTTTGATTGGCTGATGTTCTCGCTGTATGCGCTGTAGAATGGCTGCTGGAAAAGACAGGAGTTTTGCTTGCATGTCGATCCCAAAGGTTCTGCTTCATTCTAACAGAACCTTCAAAGTCTGCTGCATTTTCACGGGGATCTGTTATGCAAAATTCACATTTCTGCTTCAATTTGGGTCTGAGCTGCTTCTAAAAACAGCTAAAGCACTTTTAAAAAACAAGTTAATGTTTTTGGTGTCTAGAAAATGAGCCAATTCAAAAACTTCTCAAATATTAACTCACATTCTAGGGCTTTGTGCCGTTACCTAGCAACCCCAACAGAATTCTGCCTGTTACCTAGCAACCCAGGCAGAGCTCCAGCCTGGTCAGCTCGTTTTACCACTGTATCCGCTGTACAATGGCTGCTGGAAAAGGCAAGAGGTTTGTAGTTGACTTACTAACCAGAAACAACTTGGTGGGTTCTTGTTGGTTGTGCAGGAGGCTCTACTTCTGCTTTTCAAAAATTTACGGTTGTATAATTGTGCATCTGCTTGCAGCCATTTTCACATGTGAGTGTAAACGTTGAGTTAAGCAGCAGCTTATTTTGATTTAAAGTGACAAGACGCCCAAAAACAGCTCATTCTGAAAGAACTGAGCAGATTAAAATCTCATCTAAGAATGATTTTGTGCAAATCATTGTAACAAGTTCACACTCTGCTTTTAAATCTTGTTAGATTTGAGTGTATCTATGAAGACATTCAGTCGTGTTAAAAGTTAAGTAGGTTGTCATCAGCCCACTGTTTTATGATGGTATTCTAGGCCCAAAAATACCGCAGTGTTGTAAAATTTTGTCATTAGATGAGACAAGATGAGTTACAGTGAACTCATTACTGATGAGAGGGTGAATGGTTTACCAACAGGAACGTCACACCCTCAGTTAAAAACTGGATTAAGAACAGCGTCCAGTTGTAATCCTGGATTAGATGTCAGCATGATTCAGTTTGGGTGATTTTTGATTAACTTGATGACATTCAGTGGATAAAATTTGCCTATTTTATGATTAGAGCTCAAACCAAGAGGTGTAATTGGTTTGATCTTTTACATAATATATTACTTCTTATCAGATTGTTGATCTGTTGTCTCTTTTTATTGATAGATTTATTTTTAGTTTGACTCTACAGCGCTTTAATAAAACTTAGATAGTAAAACTAAACTGGACCATATTTTACATTTAAACAGGGCATTATTGTGAGATTAAATCTTTACGAAATTGTATTTAATTTTTCATCAGTTCCCAGGACAGTAAAAAGAGAAGGAGATCTGAGTCTGAGGAATCATTTGCAGCAGTTGATGCTGCCAGTTGTGAAAGGGATGGGACTCATAACGCTGGCACTGGAAATACTTTAATTGGACCGGGTCAGAGTTCCTCCCGGTTGCTCAGATGGGAACATTACAGGCGGGAACACTGGAGCACTTTATGCAACACCAGCTACCAAACGCTGTAAGTACAAATCCCTCTGAACCAAAGGGTTTAATTAGGATCGGTTGAGGACATGAGGGGCATGAAGTTACTCAGTCAAGAATTACAGCTAATTATTTAGCTACAAACTAAATATTTAGGTAACAAGCCAATGGCCTGAAGCAAAATTAGGTTTGTTATTTAAATATTTATCTAGCTTACAGCTAACTACATAATTAGGTTGAAAATGAACTATTCAGTTCGCTCAGAGATAACTAAATGTTTAGTTTCTGATATATATAGCTTGCTAACTAAATATTTAGTTTGGCGCTAAATATTTAGTTGGTAAGCTAAATATTAAGCTGACTTAGAGCTAAATATCTAGTTTGGAGCTAGTTAGCGTGCTCACTAACTGTTTATGGAGCTAAATACTAAATTTGCAAACTAAATATCTAGGTTGGAGTTAAATATTTAGTTTAGCAACTAAATATTTAGCTTCCAGCTATAAATATTTAGTTTGGACCTACATAGTTAGCTTGCTAACTAAATACAGAAGTTGGAGCTAAATATTTAGTTTGCTAAAAATTTAGTGTATAACTAAATACTTAGCTTGCTCACTTAGTATTTATGGAGCTAAATTAAGCTACTATTTAGTTGGAGATAAATGTTTACATATAGCTCCAACTGTATAGCATATAGCTAACTACACTACATGTTTAATTAGCATGCTATTCATGAATAAATGAATAACATTATGACTTATGAAAAATGAACACCCGTTTATTTCTCTCATTATAGACTACATAATCCAAGTTATTGCCATTAATCGTTGGTTGAGTAACTTAACTTTACA